AGAGACAAACAGGGTTACAGCGCTGTGCATTATGCCTCAGCCTACGGACGCACACTCTGCCTGGAATTGGTGTGTACAGCTACCACGCTGAGTGAAAATATGTTGCATGTCCTACACAGGGTCATGAAAAATGCAAATTAAAATTGATCACTTTCATTATTAGACTGCAAAGAAATCTTTGGAGAAGTACTTACTTACAAATATACTTGTCATAGTATCCTAAACAATCTTTTTTCTCTTTCTTCTAGATGGCAAGTGAGACACCTCTTGATGTGGTAAGAAAGAAAATCTGTTCACCCACTGTTGCACAATGAGTTCTTACACTGATTCTTTATAAGTAGCTCCCTCTGTTGGGCAAATGGAGCTACTGTGAAAACTCTTCTGTCTTGTTTTGGCAGGTCAAGGTTATATGCATTTCAGAAAAATCTTGTTTAACCTTAAATTCCTTGTGACACACACATTTGTCTCCTGTGTAGCTGCATCCTTTCAGTAAATTTGTAGCACGTGCAGCAGTGTGACCATAGCTTAATTTCTGAGGCGCTCTAATGAGGCAGTGACTTGCCATATGTGCAAACCTGGATCTGAGGTGAGTAACATGTGAACTATCTCTCTATTTCAGTTAATGGAGACATCAGGAACAGACATCCTGAGTGACTCAGAGAGCCAGGCCCCTGTCAGTCCACTGCATCTGGCGGTCAGTTCAAGGATTTGTCAGTGTGTCTCTTTCACACCAAAGGATTTCACTGTCCCCATCTTTGATGAGGGACATTCCCATTGCTGTTAAATGAAGTGAGTGTGTGTTGCCGTGTGTGTCCTTCATTCATCCAGGCTTACCATGGACACTGTGGAGCATTAGAGGCCCTCTTGTCATCCCTGCTGGATGTGGATGTTCGCAGCCCAGAGGGTCGGACCCCCCTCAGCCTGGCCTGCTCCAGGGGTCATCAGGAGTGTGTCTCCCTGCTGCTGCACCACGGCGCCTCACCAATGACCCATGACTACACACACAAAAAGACAGCCATACACGCTGCAGGTAGACAAGTGCGGAAATCTGACCTTCACATGACATGAATGAGGTTTATTTTTTGGCTTGTAAAATGGAAAACATGTTGTTGCTTTAGAGAATAAGTCCCAGCATGACTGTGTCTCTCTGCCATAGCTATGAATGGCCACCCAGAGTGCCTGCGCCTGCTCATGAGCAACAACGACCAACACATAAACGTGGACATACAAGACACCAACGGACAGTGAGTGTGTATGTGTGTGCATAGGCAAAATGGCTTAAGCTTGAGGCTTTCACTGAGTTTAGTATGCTGCTGTTTTGTTTGAGTAGAACACATTAACTAACTTCACCTGAACACTGAATAAAAAAGCTGTTTTATGTCATATTTCCACTCTGTATAAAGGACTCCTCTGATGTTGGCAGTGCTGAATGGACACACAGAGTGTGTGTACTCTCTGCTCAGTCAAGGAGCCAGTGTAGAGAATCAGGACCGCTGGGGGAGGACTGCACTACACCGAGGGGTGAGACAGTCACAAACACCCACTAACATTACAACTTAAAAAAAAAAAAAGATTTGTATTATGATATATTTATTTATAATTTTCCACATTTAAATTTTTACACAGGCAGTGACAGGCCAGGAGGAGTGTGTGGAGGCGCTCCTCCAGCGGGGGGCCAGTGTGTGTGTGAGGGACATTCGGGGCCGCTCCCCTCTTCACCTGGCATCAGCTTGCGGCCGTGTGGGTGCCCTGGGTGCCCTGCTACAGGCCACCAGCGCCTCACACACTGACACACACCTCACTGATAACCACGGCTACACACCACTGCACTGGGCCTGCTACAACGGTACTGGGACATAGCAGGGAACACTTGAGAGACCTGCCAACATCTGTGTTCTGTCTGAGGCCACAGCAAAGTAGTATTTACATCTTTCTGTCATCTTCCTCTGTCTCTCCAGGATATGATGCGTGTGTGGAGGTGTTGTTAGACCAGGAGGTGTTCAGGAAGATTAAGGGCAACTCATTCAGTCCACTGCACTGTGCTGTGTAAGACCTTGTCTGTACCCATGATGTTTTCATGTAGATGGACATTGGTGTGAGGGTATTTGAGAGTGTGTGTTGTGTGTTTCAGTATGAACGATAACGAGGGAGTGGCTGAGATGTTAATTGACTCCCTGGGCACAACTATCATCAACACCACTGACTCTAAGGGCAGGTAAGAGACGCAAATTACATTATGTTTCTATAAACAGGGTGAGCACAAGCTCTGTTGGTATAATGTTACTGTATTTGTGTTAATGCAGGACCCCCCTTCACGCTGCAGCTTTTTCTGACCATGTGGAGTGTGTTTCCCTCCTTCTGAGCCACGGAGCTCAGGCAAACGTAGTCGACACAAACATGCGCAGGACGCCACTGATGATGGCAGCTCTTAACGGACAGACCAATGCAGTGGGTCAGTACACTAACTCACACAGAGATAAACTGTTGGCCTTTGTTTTCCAAACCTCTGACATGTAACCGTCTCCATTCGTGTGTTACAGAGGTGTTAGTGAGCAGCGCTAAAGCAGACATGGCATTCCAGGATAGAAAGAGGAACACAGCATTACATCTGGCTTGCAGCAAGGTAACAACCATTCACAGACACAGGAAATGTTTTTTTATGCACTGGCCATGGTGATTTATAGATATTCACATGTCAGCAGATACATATGAGGATCTATGACCAAACAGAAGAAAAGTAATGACCTATTCAGTATTAAAAATCTTCTGGCTGGTGGAAAGGTTAATTACACAACTAAATAATTGTGATTTTCTTGTGTTATTGTAAATGTCACAAAATGTCCTCAAAACCAGATGTGTCCTACATGTTGGAATAAAAAAGCCACAACACAGGTTCATACATGAAATATACAAGTGAAATCATAAATTAGGGACTTACAACATAATATGAACAACTCAATTTTTTTGCTGCCTTAGCAATGTACATAATCTGCAAGTAGTTACAATTGGACAACTGTACTTTCATATTTTGCAAGAAATCTATGAATGTACTTTTTCATTGTCCATCACTGTCTGTTTCTCTCAGGGTCATGAGACGAGTGCCTTGCTGATTCTGGAGAAGGTCAGCGACAGGAACCTTATCAACTGCACCAATGCTGCTCTCCAGACGTACGTACCAGGGTGCAGACAGATGCTCAGCTGTGCAGAGGGATAACTCACTAAGTTCTCACTGGATCTGTTTTAACAGTGTATATCTCCTCCCTACCCCCCTGCAGGCCCCTGCATGTAGCAGCCAGGAAGGGTTTGACGGTGGTGGTTCAGGAGCTGCTGGGGAAAGGAGCCAGTGTGTTAGCAGTGGATGAGAACGGTCAACTTTCATGTCATAGCACTCACTGTCTATATTTACACATGTAGTTTTAGAATGAAATCATAACTTTTTTTCCTCCTTCACTCTTCTTATCTCTAGGCTACACTCCAGCTTTGGCCTGTGCCCCCAACCGTGATGTAGCCGACTGCCTGGCCCTCATCCTCAACTCCATGATGCCCACCTCCCCTATGGTCACCATAGCAGCTTTACCCGCACTTTCCCTCACTCAAACAGTCATCAACCACCACCCCACTTCCAACCACATCTCCAAAGGCGTGGCCTTTGATGCCCCACCCCCTCTGCGGCCTGACCACGCCTCCTACTGCAGGCCGGAATGCCCACTGTCCTCTGCAGACGACGAACTGAATGACTCAGATTCAGAGACGTACTGAGAACTATTGGACAGAGTCCCACAATTCTGGTAGGCTAGCCAGCCACTCAGGAGCCTTAATAGTTCACTGACAAGGGTCAAAAAGAGAGGGAAGAGGGAGAAAGTAGAGCCAGATTATTTTTAGGTAAGCCTCTTCAAATGTAATAATAATAATTGTTCTAAACCAGATGTTTGTTTCCTTAAGGTGCGTACCCATGGGTTGGAAAATAATGTACTAAAATGTAGAGTAAGGTGAATACACACTACATTTCTCTCAGACAGCATCACTGTATGGTCAGTAACGTGGCCAGGGTTTTTTTAAATTTAAAGCAATGCTGTTTTTCTTTTTAAATGCAGCTCCTTCTTTTTGCTGATACTTCCTGGAGTGGTTTTAAGCCTTTTCAGTTTTTCCTTCAACTATTACTAGAGGAGCATGTACTGAAGAAAAGCTCAGAGGACAGCTTTTTTTTTTCCATGATTGTCTAAAGAAAAAAAACGGAGGGACAATCTTATGGGACCACTGATGAGCTGTTTTCCCTACTCTACTTTTGAGTTTTTCTTCGAGCTGTTCTGGCAGACACTGATGGCTATCCCTCACACACATTGGTAACGCTGCGTCATTGATTTTGAACCAGTTTTTGATTCCTAGAAGAGGAAGTCATTAATGAATCCTATGAATTTATTCCAAGTGGAGGCTGAATCCTTGGGAGCCGATTCTGACAGCAGGTGGATGTAAGACCAATTTACTGTATGATTGGTTCCGGAGTCAGCTGATTGAGTGCAAAGGAGCACCCCAAGGAACTTTTAACTTGCAATGCTGTAAACTACTTAATGTCTGTGTACTGTACTGGAGACAGGAGAAAGTGGCTGACACTGTGCATATGTGTGTAAGAGATATTGTGTGTGCGTGTGTTTGTGTGTGTGACAGAGAAAAAGAGAAATTAATAAATATTGCCTTTTTAGGAATAAGCAACTTTCGGGCAAAGGATGAACACTAATTGGTGCAATGTTTGTAAAGATAAAGTAATGAATGAATAAAAATATTTGTTTTTGATTTATTGCAGTTTGTATATGATGGAGCACAAATGTGAAACAGCTGAGTTGTCATTGCTGGTCTTGGTCAGAACAGTTAATTTTTTAAAATCACTTTATAAATGTATTTTACATCTCTCCTGACAGACACATCTATTCCAAAGTTATTTCTTCCTGCAACTAACAATTGTTTTCATTATAAATAAATTGCCCTTTTTTTTTTTCTTTTTCTTTTTTTTTTTTTAAATCGATTGTTTTGTCTTTAAAAAGACAGAAAATTGTGGAAAATACACCCCATAATTTCACAGCTCAAGCTGACATTCCCACATATCCCACCAACAGTGTAAAACTAAAAGATATTCAGTTTACAGTCATGTCTGTTAAAGAAAAGCATTGAATCCTTGCATTGGAGAAGCAACTATTCACTAAAATGGTTGCCCCTTAAATTGATGTAAATCAACTAATCAATTAATTAAGTAATCATTGCAGCTTTCATTGTCCAGGTCCAGGTCTAGGTCATTCATTATCCAGGTGGTACATTCGTCCGTACAGAACGGCAGTGACCAGGCCACCAGTCATGTTTGAATGTTTCATGGTCACTCTGCCATCTGCAGTCTTCTCCAGATGCTCTGGCTGCTCCAGGACCAGTTGGCTCGCCAAAACTGATGGATACACATATCTGGTCCCAAACTTCCCCTCCAACAGGAAGTCCATTTTAGTCTCAGCTTCTTCCACTTCCTGTCCACACGAACTGGCCTCCGACCCCGCACAGCGGACAAATGCACACACCTGTAGACAGAGATGGGATAAATGTGACGTATGTCATGTTTACCAGTTTTAAATATTCAAAGTTCTCCTCATTCATACCTGCAGGGCATAGCGTCCATTCACAGTGTGAGTTCCAGCAAATGCTCCCAATGCATAGAGCTCTTTACTACCACCCTGTGGTAACTGCTGGTACTGCAGGTGACAGCAGAAAGTGCCATCACACACATTAAGTTTGCCCTCTGTCCCGTTTATCAACACAAATGAAAATGAGTCATACATCATGGATGAAACGAAGGTGACGGAGGAGGGAGAGACTGCAGAAGCAGTTTCAGGATGAGAAGAATCAAAACAGCTCTCTTGGTGACAGTATCCAGAGTCTGTATTGGACTCGGCCCTTACTACCCCCTCCTCTGTGGCCACACTCTGCCCCACCCACAGTGGCTCCAAGACTGGCACCCTGGCCACCAGCAGCCTGCCCTCCTCTGGATCTCCTTTCTGTGCGTGGTGATAGGTGGCAGAAAAGGGGGTGTAGATACCACTTCCTGTCATGATCAGTTGGTCGTTGCGAATGTTGGCTGCTAGTAGGGTGATGTTAGCACCCAGGCTTAACGCCCGCTGGAACTGAATCGTATCCAGCAGGGGGAGCTGGTTCATCCATGCTGTTGGGAAGATCAGCTGACGCACGCCCTAAAAGAGGTGCAAAAAAAGAGGCTGAGGATAAGAGGAGATAAAGACACTGCAAATTACAGCTGAATACATATTCTTGTTGCTATCTGTGTATATTTTTTTTCCTACCCTCTCCACCAGGGCAACTGTGGGCTGATAGAACAGGATATCAAAGCAGGTGAGGAGGCCAAACCTTCCGGCAAAAGGTGTATCAAATGTTACGATCTCAGGTTGTGGTGGTGTATCAAAGGCCTCCTCAAAGTACAGGTTATATTTATGGAAGCGCGCCACCAGCTGGCCATCAGACCTGTATGGAAGAAGATACTGTGAACACTTCACATACTAGGAAACTGTGTATTTGTGTACTTGCTGGACTACAGCTGAACTACTTCTATTTTAAGGTTACACTGCACCTGAAAGCCACATTGGTGTTGAACTGCCAGCGTCCATCAGAGGGACAGGTGGAGGAAGGGCTGGTCTTAAGGGGGCAGGGCTGCAAGTCACCCATGTTGGCCACCAGGTAGAGGTTGTAACGACGTGCCATACAGCTCAACCTCTGAAGAACCTATGAAACAACCACACTCAAGTGAAGAGTGAAAGCTCTGGGCAGCCTAGTGGTATCTCCATGTCAAGGCAGTCCTCACCAAAACAGTGTATCATGTCAGATTGCCTGCTCAGTAACAACATCAAATCTAAATTATCTCTTTATTTAAACTCAAAAATCAAACAAGTGCAAGATTGTATACCTCAGTGTTGTTGTATCTTCCTGGCTCTGTGCAGGGATTCCAGCTCTCCTGCTGGGGGTCAGGAATAGTTTCGAGGTAGCCAGAGATGGACGATCGGCTGAAGTTGAAACCTTGAAGACCATCCTCTGGAAACACCAGGATCTGGGCACCCTGACCGAGGGAAGATGAAGGCAGAGCATCAAGATGAGAAAGGTGACACGTTTCATCAAACTGTCCCAATGAATCCCTTTTGTATAATTACATCCACTTGTTATCTGGTCATATAAAAAGACGAATACCTATGTTTACAATGGAATTAACTGGTTTGCAAAAATAATAACAGAAACTCACTGTTAAATGTAGCTCAAATTATGCATATGTTAATATTCTGCATTTTGAGATGGCCTGGGATTTCTATGCATGGGTCCAATGACCAGTACAGTTTGAGTTAAAAAATTTACAAAAAAGGAACACTGTTTGACTGCTCAAAAAACATGATATAGAAATTGTGAAATAGAGCCTCTAATCCTGTAAGGAGTTTGAATTATCTTTGTGAGGTACGTGATTTTGAAGACAATTTAGTCCTGGTGCTTTACTTTTGGGATTACATATCTGACAGAAGGAGATTTACATAACTTATTTTTGAAAGCAAGTAATGAGCGATATTGTTTCTTTTGCTTCAAAGATACATTTTTTAAAACTCTCTAAACTGTCTTTACCTTTTGGGCAGCCCGGGCAGCCTGCTCCTCGTAGATATCCAAGTTTTTCTGCATATGTTGCAGGGCAGCGGGGCGTGACAGGGGGACATGAGGCTCCGGGTTCAGGATTAAATGGTGCTCATAAACAGCAGCAACGTAGGAGGAGTCCGCAACAGGCTCAGTTTGACCAACGACCGACGGTAAAGAAAAACAGAGACAAACGGCAACTATCAAAAGCATTGTTTCTTCCCTGAGAGACATGAATGGTGTGACCGACTAGTTACACCACAGAGCCTGTTGTAAGAGATCAGAAGTCCAGGTAAACCGAGCTGACTCAGCTGAGTAACTTTCTGGTGTAACGACGATAAGAAGCTCCCGTTGCGAAATAGTGTTTAATGTATAAATGTTGATCCACATTTTCGTAGCTTGTGCATCAACTCCATGTTGTACCTTATGCATTTGACTGGACTGCTAGGAGCTCTTTCACAGTTCTACTGTGCTAACTGGCAAGTAAAGTTAAATAAAACTTTTATTTTGAAAATACTCGACAGGAAACACTAGGTGCTTAACTCGGAACCACTTTATAAAGTTGACCTTTTCTCAGAACCAACGTGAGTGGGACCTGTATTAAACGTTGATAGTATTTTTTTCCTTTTATTTGGACGAATTGTTTGAACATTTGAAGGCAAATACCAAATAGCAGGAAGGACGTTTTATCGTGTTTGTCTGTGAGTTTGTCTTTAACCAGGGTGCGTATTAGCATTAGCATTGGCATTAGCACCCACCCTCCAGTACAATGTCAACAGTACCACAGGCACCAACAGGAGGAGCAGATGGCCCCGTGTCTAAACCCAGCCAGATGTTTAAGGGCTGCTGGAGCTGTCGACTCATCTCCGGCGGTGGTTTGATCCTGTCTGGAGCTTATGTGTTTATGGCAGCCCGGAAAGTGATGAGACGAGGCGGACCTACCTCCATGGGCACAGTGGCACAGATTACATTCGCTGCAAGTGAGTCATATAATACTCCGGACTGTTTAGGTGCAACATTAATTGTGGTCATCATTTCAAAGAAGTAATACACCTGTGTTTAACTCTCAGGTTTGGCTGCGTGGGGAATCATAGTCATCGCTGACCCGGTAGGAAAAGCACAGAAGAAGACTGTGACGTGAGGACTGTTCACAAACAGAATGCAGAAATGAATGTGTTTAAATAGCTCAGACATGGACTGACAGGACTAATGTGAGGATAATGAAACCAACTCAAAGACGCTGCTCTCCAGGACCTGCAGGAAAGTGTGTTAGTCTCATGGTCAAGCATGAGAAGGGATTTATGTTGGCATTGTGTGGATGAGAATCCTGCAGCATTGGAAGTTAATGAGTGCTTAAATTAAAACGGAAAGTGATCATATATTTGGCCAAAATGCTATTTTAAATCTTTGTCATCATTGGAATGCTGTGCATATAACGAAGTTATGCATGTCAACTTTCTACTAGTAATGATTTATCATGAATACAATAATACCAACATTACAATAATGAGTGAGGAAGCATACTCAAGTGTCAGAGCCCTGCCACCCTAATAACTAAGTGAATCCAGTAATAATTAATTAACCTGTGCTTTTCCTACTCAACATGTCGGTGTAAAAAAGCTCATACAGCAGATGGTTCCTATGTGAACATTGTCAGCACAAAACACAACTGATGATTTCTTGCAGTATGTTTATGTTGAAAGATAAGGTGCACAGCCTATTAATGGTTTAGTGTGGTTACTTAAACAACATAAACATTAAAATGATTTCTGAAGATTTTAATGAAACAATTTCAGTCCATGCCAGTTAGTTTGCACTACCAGTCTGCTGATCAATGACTCAGGGCTGAATGAAATGAGTTCTGTCAGTTTTGTAAGAAAATAAAAGTGAAAGTGAAGATCTACAACATTAAAGTAAGAGAATGTACTCTAAATTAAGAGCTGACCTTATTCATAAGAGGACACAGCTCTTTAAAAGCTGTTTAAGGTTACAAGCATAAAAAATAATACAACTTTAATGAATTCCATCTCATGAAGTGCTTTGATCTATAATGTCTCAAGAATGCGGGGAAATTAAATAACTGGCTTTAAAAACACACCATTTTGTTTTGGAGCCGCCACACATTTGTTTTTATGAATATTGTTGACTGGCTCTTCACAAATAGAGATCTATCATTTATGGGAAAATAAGTTTTAAGATAAATGACACAAATCATTAACTGGTCTGGTATAGTTGGTGCTTTTATGTTTTTTAACAAATGTATTTTAGATGTTGATTAACTTAAAATTCATCAGTCCACAAGGTCATCAAACATAAGTAAGCCATTGTAGTGGAAGGCAAAAGACATAGACTGACATGTTTTCTGTTGTTTTGGCTCTGTGCTTGGAGGATGTATCTGTGCTATTAATACAGAGGATAAACAAGAGAAAGTGTGTCACTGTAGATAATGTAGCAGGAAGCACATAATCTTTTTATAACAGTGAAAGGTCTGTCTAATATGTGGGCACCATGAACCACTTTTTATGTTTTTAAACTTCAGCCATTTTAGTCACTTTATGAACAAAAGAATACACTGAAAACACCATACACACTGTGATCAGTTAGTCTGAGTTACCTTTTATTAGTGTTATACTGATCTGAGCACAATTGCTCATAAGGAAGAGTTTGATAAGCATGATGCAAAAAAACACCCTAAAGTCATTTTCAGTCGCGTAAAATGATCATGACATTCTGATTTTTTTTTTTTTAGGTTAAAGAAAAATATGAAAATAGAGTTGACAGTACATTTAGGCACACTATTAACACATACTGTACACAGATATGCACAATTTTCATTATCATAGATTCATATATACTGGGGTTAAAAAACGACAAGCCTTCCTGTATGGAGAGGTGTGCAGAAAGTTAAAGGTGACATCTCCTCCACCATGGGGACAAAATATTCACCTCCCAGAAAGAGAGGCTCAAGTCCATGTCCTCCTACTCAGCCAATCAGAGTCCACCACGGCTGCTCAGTGTAAGCAAATCACAGCAGACGAAGGAGTTCCATCCAATGACTGCAGCAGAATGGGGCTCCGTCCAGCCAATGGGAGAGGCCCTCCCACAGTTGCTACGGTAAGTGCTCATTAGCAGTGATTCCATTGGTCATAGGACGCAGCTCTCCTGTGAGTCTATTGGACAGGAAGAGAGGGTGGGGGGCGGTCCCTCCAGCTGTCAGTTCATAACAACAACGATCTGTTCACGCAACAAAACAAGCTTGAATGCATAAAACGCCACTTATGAGTTAAAAAGAAGCAGTTGTTTGAGGCCGCCTCTGAGCTAGCTATAGCCCAATGAGCTAATAATCGGGCTGTGACACAAAACCCCCCCCCAACACTGCCCAGTCGATACCCAAAACACAGATTCTGCATGAGTGGGTGAGGGATAAGTGGACAATACCCCCCACACACCCAAAACAAAACAAACAAACAAAAAAAACAACTCAGACTTATAAAACAAGTCTGTAAAATAAACATTGTACTTTTACAACAACGGAATGTTAAGTTGTTGGGATAAGAAGACATTTCTGGGGAAACTTCTTTTGTGTTCTCTACTATTAAAACAATATGAATTATTTTTTTCAGTATACAATGATTCAAAATGCACATGCATTAAAGAAAAAAAATATTGCACAAAATTAAAGACAATTTTCTCTGAATAAAAGTGATTAGGGATATATCTCCATATCTCTATCTTGATTTCCTTGTAATGTTCAGTCGTGTGAAGGAGAGCTACCTCTAGCGTGCGTCTCTTGGTCAGTATATACTGTATGTAGTTTTAAGGCTGGTTCACTAGCTCACACTGGCACAGTTTCTGACTGAAGAGGGTTGCTTCTTTGTGCTAAACACACACACACACACGCATACACGCACACGCACGCACACCCGCACACAGACCAATTCACACAAAAATTCTACACAAGCCAAATACAGACTAGACCAGAGAGTACATTCTTTGATAGTGCGCTTGGACAGCCAGAGCTGAGCTTCCCACAACTGCAACACACTTCAGTGTGTCCTCACAGCCTCACCTTTTAGGTCAGTAAAGGTCAACACTGCATTCTCTTTCTTCACATGATTATCAACACGAAGCACAGTAATGTTCAGAGGAATCCCAACATCAAACCAGTACACACACGCGTGCGTATGAACAGCATGAGCTTTGGTCATCACAGGTTATGACAGTAGCATTAAAGGGGATGTGGCCTATTCTTTGAGGATCATGGGCGGCATAGATGATGTAACACTTTAAAGCAAAAAGTGAAAAAAAATCATGTTTCAAGAGAAGCATTGTGGCTGGAAAAACTGCTGACAATAAAAATAAAAATCATCCTTTCGACCCATATTTGTTCAGTCACATTTTAAAAACAGCGCCTCTTTAACCCAGTGCTATTGACATATTTGGTTGCTATGAAAACAAAATATTGTTGCATGTTTACAGGTGTGCAGCTTTTGCAGATCAAATGTCTACAGCATGAGGGTAATTTTGACAACAGCTGAGGGGCCAGTTCAGAGATGGCACACTGAGCTGGCTAAAAGACAGAAGCGGGAAGGTAAGGCAAGGTGTGGGTCTATGCTATCTACTCCTGCAGTTTAAAAACAATACAGTATCTGTGGTCTGTTCTCTGGACCACATGAAAGCAGCATTGACTGGCCCAGGATAAAGCTAAACACAACTAAAAAGTCCAAAAAGGAGGGGAAAATGTAGAAAGTAAAAGACTGCCATGTTCAGTCTTGGTGCAAATTACAGGACTTGTGTTTGCGCATGTGTGTCTCGCAGAGCGAGAGGAGGGCAGAGTGTGTGTTGTTTATCCTTCAGTTCTGTTTTGACAGAAGTAATCAGCTGGATAATTGGAGTGTTTTCATCAAAAAGAGTGTGTGAGGGAGGTGGAAGAAATGGCAGAAATCACACACACATACCATCACATTCACGTCAAGTCCCCCGCTCTCACTCTTAGCTCTCAAGTCTGTGTGTGTCTGGTCGGTCCCGTTGCCTCTGTCCTTTCCTGTCACCTCTTAAGAGAGGAGGATTTGAGTTTCTGGCTGTATCTGTGGATGCGCGGCGAGCGGGAGTGCAGCTTGACAAAGAGCTCAGGGAATTTGTACTGGGGGAACATTGTCTCCAGGAACCCCTCCAGGAAAACGTAGACTAGCCGACGATTCATGGGCTGGTACTGAAACATGTCAAAGACACGCAGGATGCCCTTTCTCGTGGTGTCCGCTCCAATGATGTGCTTCAGCTCATCTGGGGAAGGAAGAGAAATAAAGTGGAGTAGTCAGTGATGAAAAAGAAGAACCTTTTCCTTGTGGGTTCATTTTTGCCCCAAGCTCACACCAGAGCCACTGGAGGAGCACTTAGAGAAGAGTGAAGCATGGAACAGTTTAGTTAGATAACAGAGATATGAAACTCAAGGTAAAAGAAAGTGAAGCAGCCACACAAGCAAAACTTTTACAAAATGAAAGATGTAAAAGGACAGATGATATGAAGTCAGCTACATGCCCGTAGATCCCTGTTAACACAGAGGCTGAAATCTGTTTGACAGTCCCAGATGCTTTTGTGTTTATATGAAATGAAGAAGTCAGCCATCACCCTTGGTGTCTTTCTTCTTGTAAAATTACAAGCATTAGAGAGAAAAAAAAATTCTGAGATTAGTTCAAGTAAGTTTCCTGTCGTTGTGTTCTCTTTGCCTTATTCTAGTGCATCTAGCTGTAATGGGCTCATTACTGCCCCCTAAAGCAGCAGTCACAGTGGGCGTTTTTTCCTATTGGCCTCTAGGGGCAGCAGTAAGCCCACTCAAAAACTGACTTGAGCAAGGCACACTGATGTGAAACTTGTATGTGTTTTCTAACAGTTTGTTTTTAGTTGTACAAGAGAGAAGGCCTTAAAGATTGGGGGGTGAGTGGATTAGGCTGTACCAAACAGGTAGTGCTTAAATGTGTGAGTGCATGTTTTCACCTGGCATGATACCCAGCAGGCTGGTCTTGGCAGCTACTCGTGTCCTCATGCGGATGCTCTTGTCCCGACGGGGTGGTGTCTCAGCCAGTATACCGTTGGGCCAGTAGGAATCCCTGTATGGAGACAGAAGCACTCAGGATTACTCCCAACTCCTCAGACCAATCAGATTTATTTGAAAGAAAAGCAGAGAGGTTACCTGAACTTCTTGACGTAGTCTGCCACCTGCTCCGGTGAGGTCAAGTAGTCCACATGATCCACAATTTTCCTACAGAAACAAAGTAGAGATTTTTCAGATTGTGCTCCGTGTGAAATTACATGACTGTACGGTTCATGTTTTTCAGTGTTCAATAAACCCAGTCATCCCCTTTCACATCACCAAAAGACCTTAACTCCATAGAAGTTGGATGTAGATCCTGGTATCAGTTGGCATGAATGATTTTTTGTCCACAACATAAATAATCAAAGTCCTCCTGAATACTTTACTTTGAGTTCAAATCTACATTCAAAAACTAACAATCATTCCTTAACCAAATGTGCAAGACTGTTAACATGTTTGGGATGATTATGAGATAATGAGTAGAATATATCTCTTATCGGTGCACATTAATAGTCAACTAATTAAAGAATCCATAACTATGTTATATACATGGATGAAACAATTTTAGCCTGCTGCACGTGGCAATATTTTGCCAGAATCTTTGTACATCTCTGACCTGTTGATGGTGTCTCCATACGTGGCTCTGATGAGTTGCTGCAGCAGGTTCTTAATATTCCTGCGCAGCCACTGGTTTTTCTCCTTAAGGTCAAATACTTCATCCATCAGCAGCAGCATTACCCTCAGTGGGATGTTATCATCCACCTGGACACACAAGGCACATATTTACCATTTTACCAGAAATTTAATTAAAAAGAAATAAATGCAGAGCAACCAAACCAACTGACTGACTCACATTGTCATCAAGCTGGGCGGAGACTCGACAGTGTTCAGGGTCGATCTCAGACTTGGGGAGAAGTGGAGGCACCTAGGAGAGCAGAGGAAAGACAGATGATCAGAGGTTGGATGAACTTCTACATCAGAGCAGTGAGAAAAAGTGGAGGGTTGTGGTTCAAGACATTTATTCAGATGCAAAACACTTGCAGCATTTGATGGTGTTACCTTCAATATGGACTGTTTAATGTCCTGACCCAGTCTTTCTGACATGCGGCCCATGTTGTCAGACACCTTAGTCATCCCTTCAGCCAGACTGTCTGGCAGGGCTTTCACTGCATTGGACACGTTCCTCATTGAGCTCCTCAAAGGATTTACAAATGTGTCTATCTGATAGGGGCATGAAACAAAAGTAGAAAATGTATTTTATAGAACCAGTAATAATCCTCTGTCCTGAGTCAAAATCACTTATGCCTATGTCCAAATAACTGCTGAATTAAAGTTTAAAGCTGAGATCTGTAACTTTTAACATGTTCTGCGAACTACAGCATAGATGGTGGACAAATATGTTATTGTAAATCAGAGTGACCAAAAGAAAAAGCATCTCCAATAATCTCCTAATAGTTATTATAGCCCACAGTAAAAAACATTTTAGCTTTAATTTACTGACAGTAAATCCAAACTGTTGCACTGCTGCAATGGAGCTCTCAGGGACACAGCTATATATAAAGTGTTAAAGGTCAACTACATGTACAGAGTTACACATTTAGCTACACATTAAACACGCGCTACAGAGAAGAGTAGCTTAACTTAAACATTACACAACGTTTTGAAGTTATCCATGAGTAAATAAAAGATAACGAAATGCTGATGTTTGTTTAAAAACATTGACAAAAACATTAAGTGACCTTTCGTGCAAACTCTCCTTTGCCCTTGCTGTAGGCCTTGTTTTCTAGGAAGTCATAGACATAAGGAATCAGTGTTGGGCAGGCCTTCACCATCTCTGGGTTCAGCAGCAACTGGAACATAAACACACACACACACATAAGTTATATATATCACTCTACTAAATGATGTACGAAAATATATATATATATAGATATATAAAAGTGTTACCTGGAGGTAAGCATTGAGGTCCTTTTTTCTCTTCTCCAAAAAATCTCTGTCCATGTTGTTGAACGTCTTTTTTCCTGGCAGCTTGAGGATCGATGCCAGGTTCTCAAACTAAAACAAGGAGACAAACAAATGCATGTGTTGTTGCTTCATGTTTTGACACTAATAGCAGCTTTCTTCTGGGATAGAAATGTTGCTGGCTTCTGGGACACCTTCATCCTGACTCACACACACCTGTTCAGTGATCCTCATATGAAAGTCGTGGAAGTCCGAGTAGCGGCGGTAGGTCTTCCAGCAGTCCTCACTGCCGTCCTGGTTGCGTCTGAACACAGTGATGGCGTACAGCGCGTAGGTCTTACCGTGGTCGTTGCAAACCCCTGCAGCACCCCAGAAGCCGGGGAGACAAGCATCAGCTACCCGGCGCGGTAATACATCCAACAGGGGAATGGAGGACGAGGGGGGTGGATGAAAGCAGAAGAAAGAAAGGGAAAGTATGTGCAGATGCAAAGTGTGGGGGAAGAAGAGCGAGCAAAAGAAAGAATGCAGAGCAGAGGGTGTGGAAACGTGATAAAAGGGAGGAAAATGTGACAGAATGACAGGAGAGGTAAAGGAGGGAGGAGGAAGGAAGGAAGGAAGGAAAAGGGAAGAACATAAAAAGATTGAAGCTGATGGAATGAAAAAAATAAAGCATACTGGAACAGGATGAAAGTGACACAGCAGACGCATGCAGATGAATTGAGCTAGGAGGTGAAAAGTTGAAAGAAAAAACATGCAGGGAGGGGCCAGTAGGGACTCGCAGATACCCAATATGCATGACACATTCACACACTGTCGACATATGCAGTTACAACACCCAAATCCCACACCGAGTAAAATTCAAATGAAATGTTTTTAGGCCTGACGTGCATACACAAGCTGTCAGAATCTAGCACAAACCCCTAAAGTTTTCTTCATAACTCTAAGACTGACACTTGAACACAATGTTCTAGAAACAATACTCAGACTCTGTGTGTGTGCCTGTACCTGTGTCAGAGATGAAGGCATGTAGGTGCATAGTTTCATCATGGCAGGCGTTGGACAAGTCGTCCAAAGACTGAAATCACAAGGAAAAAGTTATCATAAACTACAGTTTTGTAACACAAACAACAATGGGACGATGAATTATAAAAACAACGCCAGAGGTGTCTCCACATGTGGATTTTTCTAAGCCCTGCAACAGGAATTGAAGCCGACTTACTAGGTTTATGCTTCCTGTGGGAGAGCCATTAAAAGATTCTCCATCGCCGTCATCAGATCCCCGGTAGCTCGGCTCTTTCAGCATGTCCAGCTCTGCTAGCATGCGGACGTAGAGAGGGCTTTGCTTGAAGGAGGGGTAGTAGCGCTCATCACGTAGCATCATGTCATACACCTGTGGAAAAAAACGTGTGAAACAGATTGTTAGCAGGTGCAAAACACAGGAAGTGAGGCAGATCATTCGAAAGAGAACACGGAACAAAAGGTACTAAATCTATGAAATGCTTCAGAAAATTCACTTATGTACAGAGTAAACGTGACATCATGTACCTTTCTCTGGATTTCATCAAATATCTCTGGCGTGGGATCATCTTTCTGCAGCTTCTCCCCCAGTGTTGTCACTGAGACCTCGTCCACTTGCACCCTGGGAGACGCCTGTTGGAAAGAATCAAAAGCAGACAGACGTAAGTAGATAATTTCGTAAAATATTAGATGACTCACGTTGGAGGAAGGAGTAGTTTAAAGCAGGTACACTTATATGTAATTTTCCATGAAACTGGAGAGCTGAACTTCTGAGGGACCAAAACCTTTTGCTTAAGTGTTAACCTCCTTTATGGCTGAAATGACTTTTGACTTGTGTGCGTGTGCGTGTGCGTGTGTGTGACCTAACATGTCACCTACCTTGTCGGAGAGGTATTGTTCATAGACACCCAGAGCAGCGGCCTTCAGCAGTCCCTTGGTGGTACAGGGCTGCTTCTTGCCATCTTTCTGCCAGCCCTGCATGGCCTCCAGCTGCTGCTGTGCTGTCACCCTGTAGCCCTCCACAGTGAGCCAGAAAAACAGCTCTGCCTGGGCCCCCGCTGCCTGCATGAAGTCTGGACCGACAGACACACACCGTTGTTGCAGTTTTTTGTTACACAAATATATATTACACAAATCTATTGGATTACTGTGCCACTTGAATGACTAACTGTAACTTTGGCTCTGTCAATTTACCCTCAGTTGCTTTTGGTTTTGGAATTTTGGTGATCTAAACTTATTTTACTCAAAAAAAAAAAAAAAAAAAAAATCAAAATCCTAGCAGCATAAATGCTAAAAGGATAGAACCAGCCACAATGTTTAGGCTGTTGGCTAGTGCTCATTTTCCAAACCAGAAAACACACACACACACACACACACACACACACACACACACACACACACAGTCTATCGTAATCTGATCTGTAAAGTGGAGTGACCCATTAAAATCTCTGACGGAGTCATGTGGGACTGAAAAGGAGCGTGCCTAACAAGACAGGTTGGAGTTATAAATTGTGGAGGAATGGAATAAGTTATGGATTATAAAGATGATTAACAGAAATGTTCAGGATTAATGTCCTGGGATGACTACAGTGACGTTTGGCATCCGTGGTATATGTGATGATGCATTTCCAGAATTACCCATGAAGAATTGCAGGGCTATGTTGTGGACGAGGATGTGATCCAGTGGGATAACACACAGCTTGCCAAAGTTGGCTGCCAGTTTCAAGGCATCCACCTCCTACACAACACAGACACAGACACAGGATGAGAAACGTCTGGTACTCACAGAACAGAGAAAACTGTTTTCTCAGCTTAGTCGACTCCCAAAGATAAAACTTCACAAACAAACTGACTTTGAGAAAATGCAGCTGACACTTGCGGAGACAATGTTTGACCATATGAATCATAAAATATAAATAAGAAACGATCAAAATTGATGACACTATAATTCATTTTAGTAGTGCATGTTTTTACTGGATCCTCCAGTGTAAGCACTATAAAAGCTGTGCTGTAGTTTCTTACCTTGCCAGATTGCAGCCTCTGGATCCTGGTCTCACACACCTTCTTCACAAACAGAAGACTGTTAATCTGGTTCTTGATCACATTGATGTCTGAAGGACAAAGAAACAAAAATACATCAGGAGGACGAGAGGAATGCAGTGCAGTTATTGGGACTTTTTTTTTTTGGATGTCCTTTGTGCCTCACACGACAAAAACTTGCGCGCGCGTGTGTGTGTGTGTGTGTGTGTGTGTCTGTGTGTGTGTGTGTGTATCAGTGAGTGCCTACCATCCCCAGCGGTGTCCAGGGAGCGGAGGTACTGCAGCTCCTCCAGCACCTTGTCCTTGACGGCTTCCAGCTCAGCAGGCTTGTCTGTGAGCTTGAGGATGTTCATGAAGGCTTCATAGTTACAGCTGGAGTCCCGTATCTACACGCACACAAACACAAACACACATTTAAACTCGATAACATATACCACTGCATAATGCTGTTTTTGTCCAATTTCATTTGATTTCTGGATTGTTTCTTGGATAGTAAACTAGCTGATATGTGCGTGCTATGGACGTGTGAGTGTGTCAGATCTCACCATCCAAATGACAAACTGGTTGATGTAGTCTGGGTCACTCAGCTGGTTGATCAGAGGAAGCAGCACACCACGCGCCAGAACCTCCTAAAAAAAATAAATAAATAAATAAACATCACATCACAGTGCTTTTCCAGGTACAGTCATAGAAAATTAACACTTGAAACATTGCGTCACATTTGTCTGTTACTTTAATGTGATCAATTCAGGAGCCTGTTGTTGAAAATAAAACTCTAGGAAAGGCTCATGGCTGACTGCATTTTGCAGGACAGTATGACATACTGTCAGTGAGATTGAGAGATTTTGTATTTGTGTATCTTATATGTACTCACCCTTAGGAAGTATCTCATGTTCTTGTTGTGGAAATCTCCAGGAGGTAGTAACAGATACAGAAGCAACTCACACAAGTCTCGAAGGAAACCTGAAACACACACACACAGCTTATGATTAGTTTTTTTCTCGCTACAACATCAAACAGTAGCACATTTGTGGGAAGAGTTCTGCACGACTGTGTCAGATGTAAAACAAGAGAGATTTCATATGTGTGTTTACCTTCTTCGTCTTTGTGTGAAGTGCACACAACGTCTCGACAAATCTTCCTCTCCATCTCCACCTCGGCCTCAAAGAACGAATCCACCAGCTCCTCCGTTATGTCTCCTGTTGAGACGAAACTCTTCTTGGTCACTAAACTCTATGAAACCATTTTTTCTGCACCACAACTGTAAACAAATCTTATTGTGTAGTCTATCAAAATGTGTAGTCGATCACAAAACTCATGAGTGTGTATGCGTACTTTGCTTGTCCTCTCTGTCGGCGAGGCGATCCTGGGCTTTTCTAAAGACACGTAAATGGGTGGCAAAGTCGTCCACCAGGCGAGTGGTGAAGTAAGGCTGCCAGTCCACCTCTTTGGACCTTGACACACCAACACACCAACACACCAACACACCCACACACCCACACCCACACCCACACACACACAACAGTTGAGATATACAGAACAGATTTGGCTTAAATATCAAGGCACAAATGTTAAGAAGCCACGTGTCATTTAGAGTAACTGTGTGCTTGTATTGTACCGTGTGGAGAACTGGACGAGGGCATTCTGCAAAGTCTGTCTGATCTCCAATAAGAAGGACTCATCCTCGCTCAGAGTGTAGTACCAGTACTGGATATAGTCTCTCAGAGCAAACTGGATCACCTACAGAGTGAAAGAAATATGGAGGAAAAGGAGAGAGGAAGAAAGTAAACAACAGAAATGTAATTCAGTTAAGACAACCTCGGAGTTGGACTGATTGAGAGTCAATCAAATGATCAAATGAGAGCCAAATGGGTTAATAACTCTTCTTGGAAAGAAAATGAAATCTGTTGATTGTAAATGTCTAGTACAAACACCCAGGGAATAGATTACTGGGCTTCTAGATCCAAGGAAACCTGGGTTAATCAATCATTTTACTGTAGTCTGTTAAATACAATAGAGATTGCAGCTGAGTATGTATGATTAAATCAAGCCAACACATGAATCAGTGTAACTGTCACTATCTGCTGCTACTGTGTGGGCTGCAGAGGGAGGGAGGATTTGGCAATGAGAAAGTACTTTTTTTAATGTAAGAAAAAAGAAAAAAGGTTTTTGGATAGCATGACACAGGTCTGCATGATGTCACGTTAAGCTGTTCAAGATCTCGAGGTTCACATGCTGCTGAAATGATTAGTGTGCATTCCCAGGGAGGAGGGGAGAACAGAGACTCCACAATAGAGCAGTCAGTGTCATCTGACCATGTCAAACTGCTGAGTCTGCACTTAACTCTGCCGGCCACGCTGCTTTACTGAGGACAATGTGCTAAAAGCTTGTTTTCTAGTGCAAGTGTTGTAACCACAGGGCAGGGTGGAAAGACGAACTGTGTCCACCAGACTGAAGCCACTAAGCTCATGTTCCATGTCAGCAATAGTGACAGGCAACCTAACCATCATTTACAGGATCTTTTTACAACTGTGTGAAGCTGAGTAAATCACCAGCAGACTCAGATTCATTTCAGCCATGCAACGTTTTTTTTTTTTTCTACACTTAAGCCACATGATGGTGCAACACTGGTAGTGTGGCAGCGTAACGGTAGAGAAACTTTCAGTTCCATTTTCCAGACAGTACATCTCTTAAGATTTCAGAAGTGCACATAAATACAGCAATATCTGCATACATGATGTAACTAATCTAGAATACATTTATGAAGGAAAAATAATTTCTTTTGGACACTTTTAAAACAGAAGTCACTCAGTGTTCCTTAATAATTTGAAATGAAATCTGCTTGTTTGAAGTCTAGAGAGAAAGAGGTGATATTTATTTCAAAGAAATAATACAAAAAAAATAAAAAATATTGTGTGAAGATGGCGTGTGTCAATCGTGACGAGCAGAACTAAGGTTCATTCTGTCAAGGCTGTTAAGAAAGAGAAATGCCTGTGTTAAGTGTGTGTGTGTTTTAGAGTTTATGAGGATGACATTTTCATTTGTTTTGCCACAAAAAACAAAAAAAAAACTAACAAAAAAAAAAAAAAACTAACAGACATCCTGGTCCAGACTAATCTGATGACACACAAAACACAAGGAACAAACTTCCTGTGAACAAGAGGCACAGAGGCTTTAGGAGGTCATGTAGTGTTTGACAGTGATGACTACTTTATGGCTTGAGGCCATAAGTTGCTGACATAGGCCAGCTGATGGGTCAGACAGTGACCCAAGTGGGGCAGCGTCCAAAAGGTCTGGAGTGTCAGCCCGTCATAATCCTGTTATCCTCTGTCAGCTTCTCGTCTTAGCTGTTGTCTCAGTTTCATCTGTGCACTGCTGATTTTTCTGGCCAATCATTCTACTACTCTGCTACCACTCCACTCTGTTACTCTCATAGCTGAGTGAAGTAGACAGTCAGCACTTCAAAACAAAAGGCTTTCTTTCACAGTCTGTGCTGTACAGTTCATAATATTTGTACTTTACAGTGTGTCAAATGCACAGGAAGCCACAATACGTGATGTAAAGATATGCCCACACGCACACACACCTGTTGTAGTGGTTCATCAATGAAACTGGAGCCAGTTAGTCTCCTGTCAATCTTTATAGGCTTGATCTCCAGCTTCATCTCATCCAATGTCTGAAAGAGAAATACACAATGATGTGGTGAAATATGAGCAATCACATCGGTAAGAACTTGAAAGCTCTGCGTGATATCTGGAAGGGCTGTCCTCATCAACAGAAACTTGATTAACAACTAATTAATTTGTTTGTGTAGGTGAGGTCAAAATGTGTGGGTGTGTGTTTTTACCTTTAGTATACCAATCTGTGTGGATGGTAGGTAAGAATGCTCGCATTTTTCCAGGTGTTTCTCTGAGTTTATCTTTCCATAGAGTAGAGTGACCGCAAAGCCCCTGGAAAACAGAAGCGAGAACAAGATGAGTTAAGAACTGATCTACCAGGCTCCTGTACAAAGTGCTGTGGTTAATGTGAAAGAGCAGGCTTATAAATAGACATGATATATGGTTTACAGGTCTTGACACTCACCCTCCAATGAAGCAGAAGATATAAAAAGCCAGGTAGAATATGGCAAAGGGTCCAAAGGTGACGAGGAACAGCACGACTCCAAGACCCCCCCATCCCCAGATGGACAGACTGGCCTGAAACACACACAGAAAAAAAACACAGGCTGAATACTCCGTGCTCTACTACTTATACTTAAACAAGTACAGACTTCTCCGCCAATATTCAAGTTAGTCTGAAGATCATTTAAGTCAGAAGAAAAGCTTCCTGTCTAAGGTCCGATCAACACATTTAAATCTTCTATCACTGACAAACAGGTCTTTTAATTTGCAGCCCTGACACCAACTAAAGTTACATTATTCATATTTTAAGGCACTAATTAAGATTTTATTTACATTAGTACTATTGCTAACTGTTGCTACCATTTACCATATGATGGTATACTGCATGTAGAAACAGCCCTGCGTCTTTGTTTTGATTCAAACTCTTTGGTTATAAATGTGAATAAACTTGTCAAGTATAGTCTAAAATGGCTTAATCTTTTCTCCCAGCCCCATCATAAATCCCCTGCATAAAACTGTTTGGGCTTGACTGCTCACTCCATTGTGAAGGAAATATAGCAATAAATCAGCAGCGTTAACTGTACTGTACAATGACGTCATCCACAGTCTAGAAAAAACACTGTTCTACACTTCAGATGTAGGCACAGGAAAATATTACTTAAAAAGACAAACTGTGGTGTGTTGTATTGTTAGAGAGTATCTGATGAAGTGTGTGTGTGCATACGTGTGAGTCATATCCTATGGTTTTCCTGTTATTGTCAGTGCAGGAAACCAAACTCTTGTTTCCAGCTGGCAGCTCTCTGTCCCAGTTTTCCATATAAGTTAGTCTAGAAGCTCTATTTTCAGTCCCATATTGTGCCAATGCTGCAGATGAAATCGCTGCAATGATAACACACCAGAAAATATAACTGTTAAGATAAGGAAGGCAAGGTCAGGCTGGCAGACTGAACCTACTGTCACTGTGTAAGTAGCACCGGCACAAACAGCAGAGCTAATACTCACTCAGGTCAGTTCAATTCAGGCTGAGGGTTTTTAAACTGAAAGTGACCTCAACCATGACTGCTGAAGCTTTCACATCACATAGAATAGGTTAACTAACTGTTCCCTGTCATTTTCTGAGGTCATGTTCAACCATGACATCAAAAGCAGGTTATTTGCTCTGAGATGTAGACTAAAGCATGACTGGATGCTTGGTGACATGTGAGACTGAATCCACTCCAGATAAAGAATGGCCCTCCTGCTCAATACCTCAACCTCCTGCCCAAATCACGTGGGTCCTCAACTCTGTGGACATTCATTCACATTCTTGACCTAAAAAGTACAAGGACTGTCTTTTTGTGTATAAATGGAGCCCCCAGCAACCCTGCAAAGGATAAGCAGATAAATAACTGATGCATACACACATATGTATATACACACACACATTCTACATATATAGTCTACATAGACTGATATTTGCTATTTATACATTATGCTTATCGCAGATATATTGTATTGGTGTATCTGTTGCCTGACAAGTAACAAGAACTTGCAGTGCAGAAATGCCAAACTAGCTTTAAGGTAATTTCATTTAGAAACCATTACATAGTTTGTCCCACTCAGTGAAACAAATCTAAGGAATCTGTATCAATATTGTTTATGTTATGTTACAACATATGTGCATGTTTGTGTGTGTCTGCATGCTGGGGTTGTTATGTGAAGGATGATTCTGACATAATGCTCCACAAACTTAACCTTCCTTGCAGGTGCCGGCTGGACAAATGAAACTAGTAAACAAGTAAAGGACTATAATATATGTAGTGTCATGAGGTTAATTTGAAAAATGCAGTTATCGGCATAATGGTGGTGATATGTGAACAACTCTCACAGAGTCACACACTGTATCATGCTCACACTCTAACTGTACAGCCGTCACAGTAGAGTCACTGACAGACTTCGTGATGATCAACAGTGATGATCTTCGGCTGCCCTATATTCATACTAGAGTTCCTAAGATAAGCAGATCCACTGATGGAGCCAGATAGGAACAGACAGATCTTCCTCAGGACACTGACACATTGTTCTCACTGCCACAGCCCGCTATGGAAAATCGGATGACACACATTAGATTGGCTGCCAAGTGTGTCGCATTCGGGAACATGGTCCAGCCCTGGATTACAACGTATAGCATGACCACTGATCACTCACGTGATCATTGGATCAGGATTGGACTGAAATAGTCACGTGACACAGGCAGTTGGAAGACAAACAACACAAGTGTAATGTGCAATCTTTACAAAATATACAGCATGCTTTAAATAGAATAATAATTTCATGATTTACAGGTGTTAATTGTGGATGGTAATGAAAAATTAGTTTTGTTGTTCAGAATCATTACACCCCTGGAAATCTGTAAAACAGGTACCACCTGTGACTCCATCAACATTCAAATCCGGATTTTTACTTTCTCAAAGTAGTCTCAAAGTGCTCTCAAAAGACCACTTAACACAGGCTGTTGCATAAGGCTACTGCAGATGACTAAGAACTGAGCACCTAACTTAATCAATCTGAGTATTAATGCCTGATTAGATATAGGAACTACATTTCACTAAACTCTGTACAATAGTTTTTGTTCAAAATCACTTTCAAACATCTCATGATAATCTACAGTCGAGGCTGAAGGCTGCCAAAGCTGCCAAAGCGCACATGCATGCCTCATGACTAGGATGCCCTGATGAAGTTTTCTCTTGTTTCCACTCCCACTCTGCGTCATTTAACATGGAGTGTCTGCTGATGCCAGGTATCAGCACCAAAAAGATTAGTGGTTGGGATACCAACTGCTCAAAGTATGGCAGTGGGCAGGGTGAACAGCATTACACAGGCAGGTATCGGGGTGCATCATTCAAAATTCAAAGTGGCCACTATTGTCTGCGCTGTTCTATGGTGCACCAAGAGCATGACTGGTTACAATAAACAAAGGACTACAAACAGATTAGACTTCATGAAGCTGATAACAGCCAATTAAAAAAATGACTTGACTGGCTCCAGTTCAAAACATGCAGATCAGCTTGTGACATCTGTCATCACCACACCAGCTGAGGACCACTGATTACACAGCACAATGGGAAAATTAAAACCTGATTCTGATGGCTGTCAGTGGGGTCTGCTGACCCAGACTTTATTTATACACTGTAAACCCACAGCCTACTAGACAGGCTAAGATCTGTCAGACTGTAGGCTGAGACAAGACAGCAGAACTGGTTTTAAACATATAGGTCATTACACTAACAGAACAACAGCATCTATGAGCACGCCTTGGAATATATGGGGCGCAGCAGAGAGTCACTTCATTTACAAACCTGGTTATGTGAGAAATCAGGTTAGGGCAGGAAATATTACATGTTATTCCACTGCAATAACCTGATTACTCTAAACACCACATTTGCATGTATGTCAGTAATCAGTTCTCTCCCCTAAACCCTTCCATATTTTGAACCAAGGCTGATGTATGTAATTGTATTAGTTATGTAAGATGTTTTAGACCGAAGAGTTTTTCTTTTTTGTTAAGAGAGCACACATTTTTTTTCTTTACTGTCAAAACCAGCTTGTTTAGATTTCTGTATTTCAATTTCATTCTTACAATTTGATTATTTTGGATAAAAGGAAGCGCTGGTAATGTTTAATTTCATTGCCCAATGATGATTTCACAGTTTTTGCTGTATGAAATATTTCTCATGCAATAGCACTCATCTACCAACCTTGTTAAACATATACATGGCTAAGATCAGGTGACCCAGCAGAGATGTAACTGTGTTAACCACATTTCTCCTCTTACAGTGATTAAGGAACCAGGTTTACTGAGTTTACAGAGTTTAAGAAAGTTATTGCCAAAATCTGACAATAACCAAATGTCTTGAGTGCATACGTACACGCTCGTGTCCGGACTGCAGAATGTGTCCAAACTGGCTAGACTACCCCTTCTTTAACATGTCATAACTGGCTGGAACCAAGTCACTAATAGCAGAGTTAGGACTATAGGAAGACAAGAAGATGACTACTATTACAGTTGAGCTAGGAGTGGTAGAGATACAAAGGCACTATTCACAGGACAATTTACACCCTGCCTCAAACTTTGATTATCTTAAATGAATGGCAATGTCCTGAAACTTCCAAGCCAACAATAACGCAGTAATCAGCCACAATGTTGTAACCGTTTACATGAAAACCAAATTATACCCTAGGTACTAACTTTCATGCAAACATCCACTAACAGCTTGACCTTCAGAAACACATCTACTCTATTTAATTTTCACCCACACAGTAATCACAGAGAGGGGAGTTACACCACTGTTGGCAGTGTTCAGAAGCAGTCCACTGTAGCCATTACTGACACATTTATTACCACCAGGCATAAGCTACGTGCTGACAGGTGACTGTATTATATACACACAAGATAACGGTGTGATAACTAAGTCTTTTAACTGTCCGGATGCACCTGTAGCAGCAGCTACTTGCTAAACCTCTCTAGTTGACGACATAGACCTTGGTAACCATACACTGCCAGATACGTCAGTCATTTTTGAAATAATTCAAACCTGATTCAGTGCATGCATGTGGGGTGGTTTTGTGGTTGTCAGAACTAATTGCATACAGTGTTTCTAGTATTTTTGTAGAAAGAAGGGCTGGGGGAGTTTAAGTTCTGATACCCAGGTTAGGTAGGCAAATTCCTCTATCAGTTTCAGTGAATCCTGTGGTTCAAAAACAGCTTTTATTTGGACAGTCTGTTTCTTTTTTGTAGGATATATGCATTTTTCTAAGTTCAAATGCACTTTCCCATCTGTAAAGGAATAGCGCAAGGAAATCCTGGCCAAGTCCCTTGTACTCAATGCAATCTTTCCCGAGAAAGTATTTGAATGTAGTTCAAATGGGTAATGTAAGTCTGGTCTGACGTCAGTGGTGCCAGTGAGTGGCAGCAGGGAATGTGGAGGCTATCAGTACAGCTCTGTGATGAGGTGATGAGGCTGTGGAGGCTTGGCTCTGTAGGAGAGATGATAACCAACACTCTTGAGTCATTACAGCTTAGACAGGGTTTTAAACATGAACCATCTGTTCCAGTGATTAACAACAAAGCCCATCGGGGACACACATCTAAACATCTAGGCAATTCCTTACGCAACCCACACTGAATAGATGCACATAAACATGAACATAACAATACTTACAGCCTCTAAACGAGATGTGTGCGTATGCAGAGACACAAAATTACTTTCACTGGACATTTAATCCAACGCCTGGACAACACCACTTAAAATAAAATCTTAGCATTTATGAGCAATACATCTTGTACAACCTCATAAACCACCATTTTTTTTTAATAAAAATAAATCCACACACAACTACACGCATAATGCACTTTGCATACCTAGACATACACGTGTGGGAAAAACTGCTCAAGGGTAAATATTTCTATTTTTGGGACCCACGCACAAGCCCGCAAGCGCTTAGCTGCAACCCTGATCAGTGTGGTCATTGGGCGAGAGGTTAACTCAGCCCATTAAAGCTCTCCTGCGGGAGTTCCATAGTTATTGCCTGAGAGGGAGAGAAAGTAAGTATGGCTGAGTGGTCTAATCCACCAGAAAAACCATAATAGACAGAGCTACCATATTAACCATGAGAAGAAATCTCGATAGTAATATATTCTATATTATACAGTATACAGTAGGAGTATATACACTCAAACTGAGGAAAAAACTAAGCATTAGAAAGTTAGTCTGTCTCAGTCTGTGCATTAAAAGACCTGTCAATCAGTTGCAAGTGACATCAAGGTCCAATGCTGTGTTTTACTTTTGGCTACCCTTGTGTTTACATTGAAAGAGTGATAGTTACACATTTCTAAATGTTAAATACAGATTACTGAAAAATCTGAGGGAGGGGTACTTTTACTTACACAGTAACAAGCTTGCATCAAAATGTTGCTGAAGATTTTGCCAGTGGTAAATTGTCTTGTCTGCAGGTTGGCTGAAATCCTATTTATCAGTGTGTCTAACCTATTCTGTCATCTGAAGGTGGTCAGCCGCCCGCTGTCTTCACTGACAGCCCACGCTGACAAACGACAGTCAGTAAAGCAGATACTGGGAAAATCTAGCTGCTCGCTTATTCAAAAGCTGTGCTGTGCAATCTCCTACTAACAAGCCTTTAGCTATCATTAGCTCAACAAAATTAACATTAGTGAAGTAACAAGCACAGCAGGAGAGCGATCACTCAAGGCCACAATGATCCACTCTTCAACAATCTCTTAATGAACGCAGCACTTCTCACCTTGTGTAAACTGCTCTTCTTTTGTAATCACTGTAAAGCCAATGGTTTTTGATCAGCAGAGTAGTTCAACTTCCACATGTTTGAAAATGTATCAAGTGCAGTATGTGTGAGTATATGTACACAATTAGCACTAACATTCATTTACAGTAGGTGTGTGGTGGGGACAAAAATGTCAGGCTGTGAACATGGAAAGTTTTATGATCAGCACCTGAAGCACATTGTAATCTTTGGCCCTGCTGACACTTTGCACTATAATGCATAGTGGATGATCTAATCACACATGGACAGCTGTCACTAAAAAGGAGCGTGACTGCACAGGAAGTATTAGACTTTCTAAGGTGGTCATGGATACATGTTAACAGATGTAGGATGGGTGACATATTAAAGAAAAAATTTGAATAAATGATGCTTTGGTCTGATGTGTTAGATGCTTTCCACCACAAGAGAGAAAATTAGTAAATACCTTTTTGAAGAATGGGGTTCATCTCTATCTCAATCTCTCATCTCAATCTATACCAGGGAGAACTGATGTTTTTCTGGCAGTTTGAGATCGCTCAACACTTTTCTAAGAAAATTACGTTTTTTTCATTTGATTTGTCACCCAACTGTGGCTCATACACCCACAATCACTGTCTGTAGCCAAGGTGAGGTACCAGGCAGTTAGCCATCTACTCTCTAGCTGTATGGCCAAGCACTATTTTGTTCCCCTATTTTTCTGTCCAGTTTGGTATGGACTGCTCTCTGGAGCTGTAGCCTGTTACCCTGGGGAGGGTGAAGTCAGCCACATGCCTCCCCTAATACATATTGAGTCCCCAGCTACCTATTTTCACCTCCTAGTGAGATATTGCTCCAGGAGGGCGTATCTGGAGGTTTTTGTTATTCGCCAAAGATCTCAGCCAACTAGTACAAATCACAAGACCAGCAACATCCCACCAGCTGGAACACGCAACCATCAGGACACGCATCAACTGGGAATTGAACCCTGACCTCTGAAACAGTCGACGTCTGAAGCACCTGTGCTTCCCCTAATTTACTGATTTGATTTAATTTAGAAGCTGTAAAAACACACATAAAATAAAGCAAAATCCAATCACAACTGGAGACAAAAGTCTAAATCTGATGCCAAATGTGAACTGCATTCTGAGTCTCAGCATGACCTAGACTCATTGTAGATATACCTGGATACGAGACACAAATCTGAAGGGGGCTTAATTCTTGAAAGGTGTTAGCCTGTTTGACAGTGCAACCACCTCTAGTCACAGAGGGAAGGAGGGAGAGGTGTACTAGGTGACAGGCAGGCCTGATTTGACAGCATGCTGGCCTTAATGTCCACCAAGCTTTGATTAAGACACCTTAATGAGATTTAGACAGTGGTGAAAAGCACTGAGATAGCTTTGTGTGACTGTGGATGAATACACAATGCACTAACATCTCCCTACAACAAACCAACTATATAAAAGTTATGTGGGTATGCCATTCACTAGCAGGAGTAAATTCTGCCAACCTGTCTACAGCTTAATGTGATCATACAATTCAATGAGCAACAAAACTACAAAACACAAGAGCAACAGTTAAGCTACAACTTTCTGTGCAAATATGCATGAAATGGCACAAAGATACAAACACTAGCTGAAAGCAAATAACTACATGGAACACAATGATCGTCAAAGTCTGAGACAAACCCAAGGAGGTGAAGGAGAAAGAGAGTAGGCTTATTGAGAGGCAACAGTGTTTTTGTGCAAGATCTGTGTTGATGATGACAACAATGGTGTTGACCAAAAGGCCCCCATATGTGTTATAGTTGCAAGTGCATCTCCATCTGACCTCACCTTACACCTTATATCCATAACAAAGCTGACACTACACAGCTAATGTAAATCACAAGATAGCCCAACACAAGTCCATCATTCACTTCAGACTAAAGGTTAGCAGAGAGCACCATTTTACAAAGAGCTACTGTCAAGATGAAGTGAAACACCTGACTGCACTTTACACAGAAATCAGTACTCCCTGTAAAGCATGCACAATAGTGCAGTGGCAGCTGAGGCCTCATTACCGAGGCTAAACCTGTACTTAAACTGCTGGATAGGTGCCCAGACGTGGGTAGGTCACCTGCCGCTCAGGTGAGGTGGACACTGTAGTCTTGTTTTCTTGTCAGCAGATATCGTGGCCAGTAGTCTATAAAGTCAGGGAACCCAGTGTGCATTGAAAAAGTGCATCACGTGAGAACTGTAGCAAAACTACAATGTCATCGCAAGTAACACTGAAAACGGCTTGTCACAAATGATTACAAAGCCGTGGCTAATCTCTCCAACCACTGACCAGCTACAATGGACTCAAGACACCTTATTAATATTTCAAGACAGGCCTGTGTTAGGCCAGTTGTTTGTGTCTGACAAGGGAAGGGAGCGATTCTGACTGACAGGCAGCTACTGAATGCAACTGGAAACAGATCCACCGGACAGCTGTGTATAAACGTCTCAGACCTTCTCTGAAGTTAAAGCTAAATGAGAAGGGAAATGCCACAACACAACGTATCAGTCGGACCAATCATTGCTTAATATGTTTGTTACCGACGTGAACGCCTTCGAACTATAGAGAAAATAGTGAAATAACCAACAGCCCACAACTGTGCTGTTAATCAATCTTGCTGATACTAAATAGATAACTTTCTTTTGCCTTTAACATTAGGTTTTAGCTCCACTAGCCGTACAAACAGGTAACGCCCAGCTCACCTGTGTTTGTTGTGATGTAGAAATTCGTTGTTGAGGGACGTTACTCATAATCTAAACGCATACTACCGACATTGCCTGTGTCGAGCTAATTTACAGCACGGTTTTGACAGTGCTGATATCCTAAGCTCATCGTATTAACTTAGCGTTAACCGTGTAATCCCGGGCTGACTGCCACTTATAGCAGACGGGCTTTCGGAAAACGCCGCGGCTGTGTGCCGTCCTCTTCCCTGTCAGGCTGTGTTTACCTGCGGGGCTAACGCTAAGGCGCTAGCTGCTACAAGCTAACTAGCTATGTCTATCACTGGAAAACAAACTACTGTAACGATACACGCGTCGATTTCACCGGCGCTAACTTACCTCTGCAAACATCGTCTAAAAGGCTGTGCGTGCGGTGGCTCTGGCTAACCCCACCACATTGTACCATGCGAAGATGAGGTTATTTTCTCGGTTAAAAACGGTCGTATTTCCAATCTCCGTACTCTCCTCGGAGCGTCGCCATGTTTGCCAGGTTTACGTCTTGGGTGCCCCGTTTCTGGACGTCGCCGTGCGATTGGCTGGGAAGCGATGACGCAGAACACACCCGTGACGATTGGCAGACACAAATGCAGTGATAATTGACTGACCTAAATACGATCATATTTCACCAATTTCCGACATCCCTTACTCAGGGAAGCTTTACTTAAATTAAATATTATGGTATGGTATTTGTTTTTATCTCTATTATGTTGCCCATATGTAACCTTGCTTCAGTGAGCAAAACTCAATTTAACATAATGTTTATCTAAGAAAAACTGTATAAGGGTTGTTTCTGTAACTATAGTCATTTTTAAGTCCCAGCAATGCAATTTTGTATCTATAATGAACATTTTTATGTGATGCTTGAAAAATATATACACACTGTTATTACACATCTTAATACATGTCTTTTTTTCATTACTCATCATTTATATGATTATTTTCATCTAAATGCGCCCATCCCACACTTGAGTCCTAACAGCAACACTGAACAAATGTCATAGGAAAATATTTTTTTTCAGAGCAGAACAAGAGCTTAGTCTCTTAGTAAACAATAGTTAACAAATGACCACCCACATAAAACAAGGACAGATTATCCCGGCGGCCTCCAACCTCTAGGGGGCCTCCAAATCCCCATCAACTTTGGCCTCCTCCTGTCTTTGTTTTATTTATTTACTTATTTTTAAATAATCAAATCAAATAAACGAATTATGTGTGTGTTGAAATATGAAGCAATGAATGTAGAGTTGCTTTATTTGCAAATAAGAAAAATATTATGATTGGTTTACTGGTTGTGTCTGTAGCATGATGATGACGTCAGGCAGGTGAGGTGGTGACCATGGGAATTTAGCGGCAAAGCCGGGCGGCTGATTGAGAGACACTTATCAAAACATTATGTAAAACAAACGTTAGAGCAGCAGCAAAGACAAAGCCGGAAAAAGAGAAGGATATCAGAGAAACTGAAATTCGTTAAAACATACCATCTATCTAAACCTTTTTCAAAAGTCGGCTTGCTAGCATTAGCAAGAGTCTGGAGAAGACGATGCTAACGTCAAAGAAGAGGACAATAACGTGGCAGCCATTAAAGTTAGTTCAGCTGAGTATTAGAGAGCCACACACCTGCAGCACTCACCTGTTCAACTGCCCCACCTTCATATCCACTTGAATCTGACTGAGACGCGGCTGTGGCAGGTAGGTTACCAGTTTAGCAGCCCCGCAATTTATCTACTACTTTTGACCCGTAAGTTACTTTTAGCTAACTAATTCAACAACAGTTTCAGCGCGCGCGCTTGATGGAAGAATCTGAATCAAAGACCTGTATTGGTGGATGCGGGGCAGTATGTGCTTGCGTGTGCCATTCAGCTACACACTGTGGGCTAATGTGTTGATATTTTTGCTGCTGGCCCAGGAAAGTATTGTTGCAATCATGTGGTGTAAATCCTGTATGATAATAAATATCTACAGGTGTTGATGTTGTCCTTCATGTTGTGATCGTAGGCTGTAGCCTGCCAGTGTAAATCCCATATGTTTCCAACTGATAGCAGCCTCAGCTAAGAATCCATAATTCAAAACCTGGATTACATGTGTGTGGAGAGCAGAGGGGAGGCCTCCAAAATTTTGTACCCAAGGGCCTCTGCCTTCTTAATACGGGCCTGTCACTAGGTGTAGTATGTATATTGGATACAAAGAAAAATACGTTTTGATGATAATACTGCAGTATTTAAGTAGGATTGTGACTACTAGCCTTTTATGTGCAATGGAGTATTTTTGATGTGGCAATGTTTTTTTTTATTGGGGTAAATGATATGAGTACTTCTTCTATTACTGAATTAACACTTGAATATACATGTTTTGATAATATGGTGTCTCTGCATTATCAGAAGACAGAGCAAGAGCCAGTGCAGCTTTTCACATGGTTGACCAGTGGCTATCTGCAAACCTGGTGATAATGCATAATGCATTGTCCCAGTGGCACCTTCATTAACCTGAGCTATATCTTACACTGCCTGGCAAAGAGAGAGAGAGAGGGGTGGGGGTGGTGGCTATTTCTTTTCTGTCAGTCTATCACTCCCTCTCTGTCACACACCGCTCTGAAACACACAGGCACGTTATGACAGTAGACTTTATACCCACACTTTAAATTACTGTACATGCCTGATATGAGCAAAACATGTGACAAGCTAAATGGTATTTTTGCATCCAGCTCTGTGCATACATAAAGTTTAAGGCAGTTCTTGTACGCAGGAAATTAGATAATAGTGGCTTGTTGATCAACCTGTTTTGCAGGTGTTCTCATCTTTTTTATCATTTGCTTCCTTTTGAAAAAAGTCCCTAGTACTGACAGCTGAAGACTGCACTAGGCAGCTTCTAACCTGCAGTGTTGTATTTGTATCACTAGAGGTCACTGCCAATCCATCTGAAACTCCTGTTAGGGTAAGTGGATAGTGTAAGAATTAGAGGTATGTCTCAAATAAATCACTTTGTGCATGCCATACATAGTTTCACAAACCACAATGAGCCACACAAAACTGTAAAAAGTAAATATACACTCAAAAGACTTGAAGTCACATTGGGAAGATTTGAAGAAGAGAACAGGTACATGTTTGATTAAAAGGTAATAGAGCAAGCACACAAGATGAAAACATGTAAATAATAAGGTTGGTTTAATGTAAATTTTGGATATGATAGACATAAAGACATAATATGTACATGTTGTATGGGCATTTGTTGGATAACCATATGTTGATCAAGTGGCTTAACAGCTCCAAATTCATTTGTCATTTAAAGGAGTCATTGACTTACTTCCACTTACTTATTTTAACACACTCTCCTTCTCTGCTTAAGCCAATGAGTGACCTGAGGCATAGTGTCCATGATGGTCTGGCCTGGAGGAGGACCGGTGTGTCATAGTTCAGAGGTCAGGAAGTGGAATGTGACAGCAACTCGTAATTTAATGATGATGGAAATGCATGTTATAGGTATATATTTTTGTTGTTGGCTGGAAACCTCACATTTCCATAAAGTTGAGAAGCTTAGACTACAAGAAAAACAGCCTTACTTTCTCCCTGATGCGTTGCAGATTTGGATTTTGCGAGGATTTTACCAAACCAGCAAGCATGAAATTCTTCAGCTTAAGCTAAAGTTCTACTTAAAATGTATCTTTTGATAACCACATATATAGATAAACAAGTATTAAAAACAATAGATCAGTGGTTCCCAACCTGTGGGCCGTGGCCCCCTGGTGGGCCACAAAGGTATTGCAAGTGGGCCGACAAATCATTTGCAAAACAATAAAGTTTTGGGGAAAAAATTTAATTATATAAATAACAAAATGAATAATGTTTTTAAATGTTTTTTTCTAGTATTGAGGCCTATTGCTGTGATAAGCCACTGTGCAGACTGGAGCTTCCTACATGTTTCCCCTGCTTTCAGTTCAGTCCTGAATGTTCAGTTGTTATCACTGAAATAAAAAGTGCTCTGAGAATGCATTATTTGCCGTCTGTATTGTTATGAGGTCAGATGTGGGCTGCCAACATTTTTGAGATTTCAAGTGGGCCGTGAGTTGGAAAAGGTTGGGAACCGCTGTTATGGTTAATCAAAAAAAAAAAAAGGATGGGGCTTAATACACTACTTTTATGTTGCAGCATTGTTTTGCTAAAGAATTCAATTCCAACAAAAGGTGTGTCTATAGAAATGTTTTGGCAGAAAGTAATGTGAGTGTTTGGAGCATACAGATGGACAGATGTGGATTATGGTGCTGGAGTAGTTTGAGAGTTCAAGCTGACCTCAGCCACTGTTTTCTGTCAAGGAGGAAACTATAAACTTTTGACAGCCACTTTGGGGCAAGTATTTGATATTCAAAAGATAAAATTAGACCACAGTTGCACATTTTTTACCTGGCAGCAATAACGCAAGGAGGATGTATCAGTTGTTTTAATTACGTGGCACAATGTGTGTCCTCAGTTGCATGTTTGTGCGCGTGTTGCTACTGAGCCCATGGTGGCAGGGTGACACAAGGTAGTTTAGGGGTGACACTGCCTAAATGTTTGCAGATGAGGCCTCCAAATATCTAATCACCACGGTAACAAGGGTCACCAGGGTGGGCCAGTGGGCCAACTAGCCCAAGGCACTGTGGGTACTGATGGGGCAATATGTTTACATCTGAATCAGCCGCTTGTGTGTGTGTGTGTGTGTCCTCAGTTGTCCCTTGACCACTCGCCTGAGGGGAGAGTGTGTTTGGCGGCCGCTCTTCCAAACTCCACTTAACACAACCTTCTCCCCCCTGACCTCGGCCTAATCCACACGGTCCTGACAGGAGGAGAGTGGACACTTCCTGGTGCACAACTAAAGTGTCATTCTACTGCTGTGTGCGCATTCCTATGGTCCAATAGTAACCGCTGTCACACAAAAAATAAGTTGGATAGTTTACTGTCCTTGTGGGGAACATATTTATCAATGAATGACATATGGTATGCCACCGCAAAAAGACATGTCACACGATGAGCACAGATAGCAGACCCTAAAACTGCAACACAGCTCTGCACAGAGGTCCCAAGAATACTGCATACTAACTACAATGTATTATAAAAGTGTGAGAAAGAAATAGTACAAAACAAAGCAGTTACCAGGTTGGTAGAAAGGAATTTAACTTTTAAGTTACTCAAATACTGGTACTGAGGTGGGTTATATGAGGCTGAATGACAAATTCTTCTGCTATGAAAGCGGTCTGGCTATCATCACTCTGATATGTGAGTTTGCAAAGCAACAAAAGATAAGTTTACTTAATTTATGTAGTACTTTTCACCTGTGCTGTAATGACCAGGAGAAACAGCAGTCATAAGTTGAAACTAACAGGGATTTAAAAATACTGCTGAGATACATTAACCCAAATATGACCCATGCAGCTTTGTAGCAGTGTTTGCAATGGCAGTTTAGTTCCTTCAAGTCTTTTCATGGGCTTTTTAATG